GCCTCCCTAAGTCACTCCTACATAAGTGAGGATTCACTGGTCAATCATGGAACGCCAAGCTGGGTTTTTTTTTTTTTGGTTTTGGGTCACACCCAGCAATGCAAAGGGCTTACTCCTGGCTCGTGCACTCAGGAATTACTCCTGGCAGTGCTTGGGGGACCCTATGGGATGCTGGGAATCGAACCTGGGTTGACCATGTGCAAGGCAAATGCCCTACCTGCTGTGCTATTGCTCCAGCCACCACGAAGCTTATTTTTAATTTTTCTTGTTCGGTTTTTGTTTTTTGGGGGTCACATCTGCTCTGTACTCAGGGTGCATTCCTAGTGTGCTTGGAGGTCCATATGGGTACCAGAGATTGAGCCCATGCAAGGCCGTACCTGCTATTATTCTGGCCCCAAGCTTATTTTCTACCGGAAAATAGTGGCTGTTTTGATGGGGGAAAAAAGTTGAGGGGAGCTTGGGTCATACTTGGAAGTGCTTGGGGCTTACTCTTAGCTTGGTGCTAAGGGATCACTCCTGGTTGTACTTTGGGGACCATGTGTGGTTCCTGCTCTATTTCTCATTGAAAGATCCAATGGGGTTGGCTGCATGTAAGACTAGCACTTCACCTTCTATATTCTCTCTCAGGTCCAGATGAATTAATATTTGTGAAAAATTTCTCTTATAAAAATGTTGCTGTCATCTGTCTCTACACAGCTTTGCAATGTTCTATCTCACAGTGATTCAATAAAATTAAAAAGTGATATTAAAAAAATAAGTCTACTTATTAAAAAAATAAAGTAAATCTGCTTACTTAAGGTAAAAAATATAGCTGTAAACTTTTGTTTTTGTTTTCTTTGGGGCTACCCCAGCAATGCTCAGCAGTTTTTTTCTGGCTCTTTATTTAGGAATTACTCCTGGTGGTGCCTGGGAGACCACATGGGATGCTGAGATTGAATACAGGTTCGCCATGTGCAGGGCAAGCACCCTTCCCACTGTACTATCTCTCCAACCCCTATAGTTGAAAGCTTCTATATAGTTTAATGTTAAACATTTCTCAGGGACTGGGGAGATATTACAGTGGGTAGGTGCTTGCCTTGCACACAGTGGACCCTGATATGATCTTGGCACCACTTATGGTCCCCTGAGCCCTGCCAGGAGTTATTCCTGAGCACAGAACCAAGAGTAAGCCTTGAGCACCTCAGTGTGTCCCCCCTGCACCCAAAATTCTTAACTCTTTTTGATCTTTATTTCATTTATTAGTTTTTTTTGTTCTTTGTTTTTTTCTTTTGGGGTCACACCCAGCAATACACAGGCATTACTCCTGGCTCATGCACTCAGGAATTATTCCTGGCAGTGCTCAGGGGACCATATGGGATACTGGATATAGAACCCGGGTCGGCCGCGTGCAAGGCAAACTCCCTACCTGTTGTGTTATTGCTCTAGCCCCCTCATTTATTAATATTTAATCAGAGGATTTAAGGCTTTGCGGGGATATTTATGTATTTAAGAATGGGTGCAAGGACATTTTTTGTGCCAAAGGCTATTTGGGTATTTATCACATCCTATGTGGGTTATACAGTGCAAGCTGGGCCACAGACAGCCAATGAGAAGTGTACATAGCTGTCTTGTTTTGTACCAAGGAAAGATCACGTGATTTCAGAGACTTTATATGGCCTGCGAACTGGGCATTCCCCACTCCTGACTTAAAGGTTCAACAATTTTAAGAAATAAAAAGCAAGTCAAGGGCTGGAGAGACAGTACAGTGGATTAGGCATTCTCCTTGCACATGTGTGACATGGGTTTGATCCCCGGCACTACATACGGTTTCCGGAACCCTACACAAGAGTCATCCCTGAGTGCAGAGCCAGGAGTAAGTCCTGTGTACTGCTGGTGTCACCAAAAAACAAAAACTAAAAAACTAAAAAACAACAACAAAAAGAAAACCCCCAAGTATGTAAAAGACCTAAGAGATTGAAAAAGAAAATGCTAGTGAAACACATAAAATGTGTCAGAATCATTATGGGAATTGATAAGAGCAAAGCAGACTTAGAATATGTAAGAAAGAAGATAGTTGGAAAGGTCAAATGTATTGCTAAGTATTCGGACATATCAAACAGAATCACCTGGATGGTTTAGGGGGTGGAGTTATAAAATAAATATCCCAAGTACAATTATGATGATGTGGCAGGGTTTGCTGCTTGCCCCCCACGATCTCTATTTACTTTTCTATAATAATAGAATTAGTTGTTCGAAGTGAGCTACAGAGAGAGAAAGGTATTATTTATCTGGTCCTTGCACCTAACGAAAGCCATGTTACCAGGTGGTGACCAGTGGGATGTGTGTGAAGTGATGTGTATAACTTCTGTTCTTGAGAAAGAGGTGGGTGGTGTTTCCAGCTGGCTGGTGCATTCCAGCTGGAATGTGGAAGTGTGACTGTTCGCCTTGTTGGATTAGGAGGGTAAGTGCAATGTCCAAGGGAGTGGTGGAATACTAAGGGTGGAACCTGATACCATGCCCGTGTTATCATGGCACCTCTGTACCAGCTCTGGACTGATTGCACTCCACTGCTTATTTTGTGGACAGGTCTCTATCATTTTAGGTTTGTATTGAAACAACCAGAGCTGTATCCTAATGCACAAGGGACACATCTCAAATAAATATCTATAAATACCTATGAAGAACATCATTAGGAGCACAGGTGATCCAAAAAGGCTATCATAACTTTCAGTATTGATATTGCAAACCACAATGTCCAAAAGGAGAGGGGGTGGGGAGAGAGAGAAAAGAAGAGCACCTGCCATAGAGGCAGGCAGGGGGTTGGGGGTTTGGGATGATGGGAGGAAACCTGGGGACACTGGTGCTGGGAATTGTACATGGTAGAGGGATGAGTGTTGGAATACTTACGACTGAAACCCAATCATGAACAGCTTCGCAATGGTCTGTCTCACAATGATTCAATAAAAAAGTTAAAGAAAAAAGAGACTATTGAGTGTTGGTGGGTTTATGAAGGAACTGAAAGCCTCAGATGATGCTGAATTGGGGGGAGGCAAAACAGAGCAGCTATAATTTAGTAGTTTCTAAAAAGTTAAGCACTCATTGTATGGCCCACCAATTCCTCTTTTAGATATTTATCCAAGAGGAATAAAGACATATCCACACAAAGACTTGTGTCTTTGTGGATGCTCATAGAATTACTCATAATCGCCCCAAACTGGAAATATTTCAAATGATCATCAGCCGGGGAATGTATGAACAAATTTCAGTATGGCTATAAAATGGAATATTACACAACAATAAAGATGAATGAGCTACTGATAAATATAACTACGTGAATAGTAATAAGTAAAAGAAACCAGGCATGTTGGACTACATTTATACAATTATATTTATTTTAAATTCCTGGTAAGAACAAACCTACAGTAACAGCAATCAGACTGGAATTTTCCTGGGGTGTTGGATGTATTAGGAAAAAGTGACTAAAGATGCAAATGATCTTTTTTATAGTGGCCACACTTGACAGTACTTGGAGCCACAGAACTATGCTTAGGCCTGTGGTCCTTGGACCATTAGGGCCATCACCAGTGTCTTGGAGGGCCATGGAGGCCAAACCAGAGCTCCACAGTGTGGTGCTGAGGGTGGAACGCAGGGCCTTGCTTTTGCTAGGCATGTATTCTGCTACTGGAGCTCTCTCACATGCCCTCATGGTCAGGGGTGGGGGGATTGGTGGGGTGGAGACAAGTATTCTGCAGCTGAATTGTGACTGTATACAGTTATACATATTTACTAAATCTTGTCAAACTTTTCTAAAAATTGGTGAATTTTGTATCACATAAATAATACCTCCATCAAGTTGTTTAGAAAAGCAGAATATAAATGAGGATAAAACCACCACACATTTTGAGTTGGAGCACCTCTGCATTGCTTTCTTATGGAACCTATATTACATCATTGGGGAGCAAGGTTAAGAGAATAAATTGAAAACATATCGATATTTGAGAAGTATCAGTTAAAATGATCATAACAGCACATAGTATACTACCTATAGTTGGAGTAAGGAAAGCTTGAGCCTTTATTTTGGAATTGCTTGTGGCTATGATTAGATGCCTTTATAATCACTGGAGTAGCACTGTAGCACTGTCCTCCCGTTGTTCATCAATTTGCTGAAGCAGGCCCAGTAACGTCTCCATTGTGAGACTTGTTACTGTGTTTGGCATATCGAATACGTCATGGGTAGCTTGCCAGGCTTTGCCGTGCATGCGAGATACTCAGTAGCTCACTGGGCACTCTGAGAGGGGCAGAAGAATTGAACCCGGGACTGGAGTAGATGGTCTTACATATGGATCCCAGCTAACCATGCTTCTCAGATTTATCTTTTGTAACTCTCCCTTGAATCTGGATTGGCTCTATGGCTTTTGATCTCCAGAATGCTTCAGAAATGATGCTACAGACTTCTAAAAGTAGATCACAAGACATGTTACAGTTTTTGCTTTGGTCTCAGAATGTAAGCACTAGGGGATGTGCTGTCACCCGAGGGGCAGGGGGAGTTTTGCTTTCATATTGTGAGGAAACCTCAGTTAAACAAAAGGAGTGTGAGGGAGAAAAGGGGGAAGACCATCTGTGAATAGACAGATGATGCTATTGAGAGTGATGCTTGAGGAGCTACCAGCTATTCCTTTATCCTAGTCCAGGCTCTAAATACTAGGGAAACAACCATTTGGGTCATCCAGTCAAATTGAGCATTCTGTTGACGGCCCTAGACACCACTGAATATCAACCACATTTGAGGCCCAGCTAAACCTGGTTAAGTCACAGGTTGATATTTTGAAGTGGTTTATTGTATAGCAATAGATGGCCTAAACATGAAAAAGTAAAGTGATAGAAGTCATTTTTATTTCTCCAATTTTAAAATATAAAATTAATAACTAGACCAAGGGATTTTTATGAGTTATTTTCATTGCTAGATCAGCTTTTCTTTAAATTTTCTGTAACAGACTTTTCCCACTTGAATTCCTTTTCAGAGACTGCAGAGAGAGTGGCATTGTCACAAAGGTGTTTCAGGTGGGCCAAGGAACACCAAGTGCACTCTCCTTGGAAGACAGTGTGGATGCTGTTCTCAGAGAGTCCTCAAAGCAGGCAAGTAAAGAAGTGCCAGCACATGCAGATAGATACCACGTTATCTGTTCTTTCTCAGCATTGGTGTCTTCTCATTCGTTTAATAATTTCTATTCACAAATCCCGGCATCAGTCACTGCCAGTATCTTCAATGATTTCTTGTAAAGTAAAGTAAAGTAAAGGCCCTCCCGTTGATCATCGATTTGCTCGAGCGGGCCCAGTAACGTCTCCATTGGAGACTTTGTTGTTACTGTGTTTGGCATATCGAGTACGTCACAGGGAGCTTGCCAGGCCCTGCCGTGCGGGCGAGATATTCTCGGTAGCTTGCCGGGCTCTCCGAGAGGGGCGGAGGAATCGAACTCGGGTCGGCCATGTTGGCTGCGTGCAAGGCAAACGCCTTACCGCTGTGCTATCGCTCTGATTAACCCTTCCTCTCCCATTAGAAATTCCCACCTTGTGTCACTGCCCATGCTTCAGTATCTTCAGCAAATCCCGTGCTATTTAAAGAAAGCAGAAACGTGTAATCTCAAATCCCAGGGGATTAGTGTCCATCCTCAATCACCCTTTCTTGCTTTCTTTCTCCAGCAAAGCTGAATTGTGTTTTCATTGTCGTTACTGCTTCTTTTATAAAATGATGTCAGTAAATGGTCACTCTTTCTTCTGATCGATCTTCCCTATGCATAGTAAGCTCTAATGTGGCAGAGAACATGCTGCCTCGCTCAGGTCATGTAGGAAACGGCGATAACATGAGTGTGTCTGTTGAACAGATGCACCAGACTAGTAAAGTCCTGGGTGGCAGAGACTGCTATTATGGTGAAATCTTTAACTCCACATAATTAAAATATTACCTTTCTGGAGGATGAATTAAACTGTTTCAAAAGAAGTTGAGATTTCAGACCCTGGGTTGTGGATATCAGTGTAGTAGATCCAAGGGCCAGAGAATAGACCAACCCATAGTTAAGCAACCAACCAAAAAGTCTCAATCAAAAAGTTCTCATGGGGAGACATTTTGTTTTTGGTGACTCTTTAGCCAGAGGTAGGCTAGAAACTAGAGAGATGTGATAGGACCCAAAGAATAGATTCAGGCATAGTGTGAGGCTCAAATATGCTTAGGGCAGGAGTCTGCATTGGACATGTACGACCAGTAGAGAGAGGCTGAGCTTCTGTGTATCGGCATATGCTTTAGTCTTAAATTTAGCACAAGAGTATGAATCCACAGTGAAGAAATTATAGATTAGAGTTTTTATTATTGATTTACTTTAGTTTGGGGGCCACACCCAGCAGTTCTCATAGCTCACTCCTGGAGGTGCTCAGAGATTGTCCCAGGCCTCCTTATGTAACGTATGTGCTTTGACCTCTGTCTCTGATCCCAATGGAGTTTTTAAAACCCAGTAAATGATAGATTATACATATATATGTTTGTGTATATATCTATATATCTATATATCTATATATATCTTGGACCAGCTGCCTGTACCTTTGTATCTTTGATCCTTAGCCCTGTGATTATTGTTTAGACTCCTGTTGTTACAAGATTTTGTTCACTCATGCTACCCTTCCCTTCACTTTTGGTCACTTGTCTAGGACTTTCCAGCTAGACATGCTGCCACACCAGATACAGAGCTGTGTCTTTCCAGAGTAAAGTGAAACATTGGTCATTTAGTAAAAATACTGTAAACAGGTTCAAATAAGAAGTGCACATTGTGGCATTGCTTCTACCATCGTTTTGCTTTGCTTTGTTTCATTTTTCCTTTGTCTGAGGGCTGAGGCTCAAACCCAAGGCCTCACACAGGTGAAGCATGCCCCAGATCTCCACCATGTGGCTTAATTTTCTTTCAGACTCAGAATCAACCAAATGCTTGACACACAATCTCTTCATTTCTAGGAACTGAAAAATGGATTTGTTGGATCAAAACTAAGGAAGAAATATAAAAATGTTGAAAGTAAACTGGGTTGGAATGTTAACCTTAGAAAGTTTTCAGGTATGATATGATAGGATAAATACAAGGTTTAGTATTTGAAACTGCTTGTTTTCTTGTCTGTGAAAGGGTTGGAATAAGATGGGAACAAGAAAGTAAGCTTTAATTTTAACTTTCGAGCTGCCTTGGTTGACAGCTGAAGCCCATGAGAGATAATCATGCAGTTTAACAAAGTGAAATTTGTTGACTCATGGCCAGGGAAACCATATAGCAGGGAAACCACAGGGGTGTCTCAGCAAACCAGGGAAAATATGAGTTAGAGGGCTTGGGGGGAGAGTGGAGTCTAGGTAAAATTCAGGTGGAAGCAGACATTTGATAGTCACAAAGCAAAGTGGCGCTGAATGTGAAGTGGTCACCATCTGAGCACTAACTGAAGGGAGGGATCAGTTACCTCTGCACCTGCAAGGATAAACGTAGGATGTGGTACTCAGAAATCTTTCGATGAAGCTAAGCACCAGGGTTGGATACTGAGGCTGCTTCTCAGTGTCAAGGTGATTTAGGTCCTTCAGGTGTGAACAGGATACTTTATTCTTACCCACCTCACTCCGAAGAATAAAGTTTCTATAAATTTCTGATTTTAGAGAGCAAGAGTTTCCAATAAGAAACAACAATCACTCAGAGGAGGAACTTTGTACAGTTACAAGTCTCTGAGGGAAACACTGTAACTTCCCCTTTTGGCTATTGGAACAATCTATTTCCCCAGTCTGATGTGAAATGTGGAGTGTAAGCGGGGCAGGTTTTCTGCCTGTCTTCCCCCCACCCCTGCATCTGTGCTCATTTCTTTCTTGGTGGTATTTCACTGAAGTGGGGCTTCTCTACATAATTGCTACTTCTAGGGAAAGAATGTGTTGACAGCAGTCCTTTATGAAAAGCTTTTCAATTATGAAGATCTGTGTGCACAATCCATATATAATTACAGGTATTTACAGAGGCTGCTTTTGATGTAATTGTAGATCTCAAGGTGGGAGAAAGAACGGACCCTAAAACTCTGAAAGATCTTCGCTTCTCACACAACTCACTGCAAACTCCAGCTTACAGTGAAGAGGCAGGCTCTAGAGTGCCCCCGCACCAGTCCCAGGTAACTACATATCGTCCATATATTTCACATTCTCATGAAAAAATTTAAGGGTGTCTCTTGGGCTTTCACTGAGCACCAGCAGGTTTGTTTTTTTGTTTTTGTTTTGTTTTGTTTTGTTTTGCTTTTTGGGTCACACCCGGTGATGCTCAGGGGTTACTCCTGGCTCTGCACTCAGGAGTTACTCCTGGCGGAGCTCAGGGGACCATATGGGATGCTGGGAATCAAACCTGGGTTGGCTGCGTGCAAGACAAACACCCTATCTCTCCAGCCCCAGCACCAGCAGTTTTGAGGGGTTGAGAATATTGCGATACACAAGAAAGGTTCCTCAGTCCTAGGAGCTTACATCTTATTGGGCCTGAGGGCAAGTAGGTAATAAAGATGTAAATAAACAAAAAATTTAAATGGTAAGGCTGGTGGTGCGATGGGTATTTGATCACTGTATAATTGAAACCCAAGCACAAAAATTTGTAAGTCTACAACTATACCTCATGGTGTTTCACTAATAAAAATTAAAAAATAAAACAAAACAAAAAAAGAGAAATCAGATATATTGGAAATATATTAAAAAATGTTAAGGTCATGATAAAGGTAAGGATAAAATGGTGATTCTCAAAATAAATCTCTAGAGCAAGAGCATGAATATCACACTAGAAGTGCATGTCCTTAGCCCCACACACGAAACTGACTGGACTTGGTGCTCTGTGGGGGGCCCATTAATCTGTTTTAATTGCTCCTTTTGGTAGATGCTCAAAGTTGAAGCTACAGAGGAAGTAAAGTGCATAATTCCTAAACTTGGTTACGCATCAGAATCACCTGGAGGGAACTGGAAGAGACTTTCATCCATGGGCTTCATCCCAGGTTTATAGAATTATACAGAAGGATGTCAAGAGGGGTTAGGTGGGACTCTTGACATCCTTCTGTATAATTCTATAAACCTGGGATGAAGCCCATGAATATACTTACACTCCCACCTAATATACTTACACTCCCAACCAGCGAACTGGGTTATCTCTGCTCGGCTCTGGTCAGTCATTGACATGAAGGCCAGCAGGTTCATGTTGCTTCTGAATTTGCAAGAGAAAGGAGAAACCTGCATCTTTAGACTTTAGGACTTAATTTCAAATGCTAGCAGCTAATTCAAAATTGGAAATGTGTGTGGACTGATATAAAATTTTACATGCCAAATAAAAGCCAATAGCAGACCAAATTTGGTCAGTAGACCACTACTTTGCAAATTTTGGTCAAAACCATGTTGGATCTGACACAAAGCAACTAAAAATAGGACTCTTCCCCATTGTCTATAGTGTTAAATCTGGAATCATAAACCCAGCCCACAGGAGTCTGTTATTCAGAGACTATTAGGGTACATAGGGCTGAGTGCGAGAGAAAATACAGTGTTGACTTCAAGTAAGTGACTTTCAGAATTTTCTTCTTTTTTTCATTCATTCATCATCCTGTTAATCGTCGATTGCCTCAAGCAGGCCCCAGTAACGTCTCTTTCATCCTAGCCCTGAGATTATATTTAAGGCTTTTTAGGAGAATGAGAATTGAGAATTTCTTCTTAAATTGGAGATTATATATATCTCTTGATATAAATTGATACACTGAGATGGATACAATATCATTTCTGTGATATTTGTGTCAAGATGCATAAAGACAAAACCAAATTGAAGGAGATTCTGCCAATGAACTGGCCCGTTTCTCTTCCCAAAAAGTCAAGATCATAAAGGTATAGGCAGATTGAACTCTGGCAGATTGAAATCTTTTAGTTTAAATGAGACAAAAGACAAGAAACTAAATGCAAAATGTAATACTGGACAGGATCTCAAGACCAAGGAAAATTAATAACTGTGAAGGACATCATTATTAATGAAATAGCATAATTAATGAAAATTGAATTGATTAGATAGTAGTATGTTTTCACAGTAAAAGTTTCCATTTTGGTGATTGTACTGTTGCATGGAAGGAAATGTATTTGGAAGTGTTGAGGAGCAAAGGGACATCCTGACTGCACCTTCCTCTAGTTACTTATACTATCATTGCAATTTTTCTGTTAATCTGAAATTATATCAAAACATAATGTTACCAAAATAAATTAGTAAAATGAAGATACTATTACCTGCTTCAGCAGGTCATTCTAAAATGCTAGGCACATTTGGTTACTATCAGACCCTCTGTACGAGTTAGCTTCTCCCCTCCAGGAGTCTTCTCCTTTTGTTCCATTCCCCTGATACTCAATGCCTTGGGTGCATTGCATTCTCAACAGACTTTCTTTTAACTTGTATTTTATTATTATTATTTAGATTTTTATTAGTGAAACACCATGAGGTACAGTTGTAGACTTACAGACTTTAGTGCTTGGGTTTCAGTTATAAAATGATCGAGTACCCATCCCTCCACCAGTGCCCATTCTCCACCACCACTGATCCCAGTATCCCTCCCAACCCCCATTCTCCCCATGAACTGTCCTGCCATTGTGCCTTTGCAACTGGATTTCCTCCACTCGGACTTCCCATTTGACAAACTTAACTTTTCTTTTTTTAATTTTTTTTGTTTGCTTTTTGGGTTACACCCAGCAATGCTCAGGGGTTACTCCTGGCTCTGCACTCAGGAATTACTCCTGACGTTGCTGGGGAACCATATGGGATGCCAGGGATGAAACCTGGATCGGCCTCATGCAAGGCAAACACTCTACCCGCTGTACTATTGCTCCGGCCCTGACAAACTTTTCTTTACCTTCCACTTGACGAACTTTCTTTTCCCTTCCCAAGCCCTGTTTAGGAGAAGCTGTCTAGTACAAATGAATCAGATGATACTGTTCTCTGCTTTTCCCTTGTGGCAGGCGCCAACCCTGCGTTACCATAGAGATGTCTGTGTTCCAGTGTTTTGTGTGTAACCAGTTCAGCTACTTAGACTCAAGGACCATGTAATACTTACTTTTGTCCACTTTCCTGCCACAAATACAGTGCCTGGTATAAAATGAATGGACACAAAAAAATGGATAGTGAGCTAAATGTTCACTATTTCTATGTAACTGTGCACAGTTTGTTTTTGTGGCAAAGTACTTTTATGTTTTCAAGAAAAATGGATCCTAACTAAGGTTTTGTCTTTAAATTTTATCCAAGGCACCATAATTTACAGTACTCTAGTGATAGGGTCTTATGCACACAACATTCTAATAGCACACCCTTCACCAGGATGTCCTCTTCCTGCCCCCCTCTGTCTCAGGTTCACCCCCACATGGTACAATTTTGCCCTGCCGTGGAAAGCTCAGTTCTGTATAACTCAGTTATTTGTATTTTATTTTATGTTTTATTCCACACCCAGTGTTGTTGACTGAGAGTTAACCCTGGCTGTGTACTCAGGACTGCACCTAGCAGTGCATGTGGGGCCTTACATGATGCTGGGAATTTGAAGCAGGGTCAGTTAGATACAAGGCTAGTGCCTTAACTCTTGGACCATTCCTTCAATAAACTTCAATTTTTGTTTGTTTGTTTGTTTGTTTGTTTGTTTTGGGGTCACACCTGGTAGTGCCCAGGGCTTACTCCTGGCTCTGTGCTCAGAGATCACTCCTGGCAGGGCTCGGGGACCATATAGGGTACCAGGAACTGAACTAAAGTCAGTTGTTTGCAAGGCAAATGACCTACCTGCTTTAATGTTATTCCTGCTTTACTATCATTTTATTTATTTATTTTTAATTAATTTTTTCAAAAGGAATAACCATGAGATGCAGTTACAAGACTGTGCATGATAAGATTTCAGTCATACAATGTTCCAAAACAATCCCTCCACTAGTTTTACTATCATTTTAAACGTCTATCTGAAGTAAATTAAAATATCTTGTAATAACCTTTTATTTATGAAATATATATCTAAATGTGAATATTGCTAATAGTTTTAATGTTGGGTACTAGGGTTATAATTACTTATGACTTTCCACAAGTGATTTGTTAAGAGAATTCTGGATATAATACAAAAGATTAAATGAAACTTTAATGGAAGTTTTAAAAACTTTTATCATAATTTATCTATAGTCTTAATTTTAGTTTCCTAGTTTTGCACACATAGCTGGCCAGAAGAGTTTGACAAGCACAGAGATCACAAGAATTCAAAGGGAGACAGACTTTCTTAAGTAAGTATCACTTACTCTTTGCTATTTCTTAAATTCTAAGATGTATTGTGGATAAAACCAGAATAGTAAATAATAGTGGCGTTGCCCAACTCTTAACTTTTTTAATTAAAGTTTTGTACATAATTCCAGGAGGATTACTCCATAACTTAGAGGCCAGCTGGGTATCCTAGAGGAAAGGGCAGTTCAGATAGAGAAGGGAGCACCAAATAAAGGGTGTTTGGAGGATCCTCCAGGAGGGGAGATGCATGTCGAAAGTAGACTATGGACTAAACATGTTTGCCACTCAATGCCTCTTTTGCAGACCACAACACCCAAAAGGAGAGAGAGAACACAGGGGATTGCCCTGCCACAGAGACGGGGGGGATGGGGATATGGGGGTGGGGGGATATTATCCATGGTGGTGGAAAATGGGCACTGGTGGAGGGATGGGTATCTGATCATTGTATAATCGAAACCCAAGCACAAAAAATTGTAAATCTACAACTGTAAAAAAAAAAGAAACAAAAAAAATATATATATTACTTGAATAAAAGTAATCACAAAAACAAAGAATGAAAAGAAAAAGTTTTGTACATAATTTTAATTTTGGGGGGGCTGTTGGGCCATATCTCGTGGTACTCAGGGTTTACTCCTGGATCTGAAATCAGGGATTATTTTTAGTGGGGCTCAGAGGACCTTATGGGGTGCCAGGGACCAAGCCCAGGTTGACTGCATACAAAGCAAGTACCCTCTCTGCTGTACTGTAATAAAAATTATGTTTCAGGGCTGCTCCAGCCACAAAGTTTTGTGTATTTTAAAAGTATTATGGGTATATAGTAAACTGTCTTACTTAAGGAGTATAATTGACACATGAACATAAATGTATGTACAAAATGTGTATATAGTATATATGTATATATAAAAAACTTGAAGCCCACCACAATAAAAAAATTAACAGCTTTTATAAAAGCAATATGAAGACTTCTCAAAAAATTGAAAATAGAATCACATATAACACTAATTTCATTCCATATATTTAAAGAACATTAATGCACTAATTTGAAAAGATATATGCATGCCTATATTCATTGCAGCACTTTCAATTTTTTTTGGAGACAAACCAGACAAGTTTTTTTTTATTATTATTATTTTTGCCTGAGAAAAACCTGGATTTATTGATTTACAAATTGTTTTTCCAGTTACATAACTGTTGTGTATTGGGGTTCAGTAGTTCTTGTCCAGCTGAATCGAGGAACTTCAATAATATTTGAAGCTAGTTTCTTCTTTGATCTCACGTTTATTTCTCTTTTTGAACATTTTTTAATTAAAGCACCATGATCTACAAAGTTATTTATAGTTGATGTTTAGACATACAGTATTGCAGCTCTGATCCCACTTCCATTGTCAGCTTCCCTCCACCAATGTTCCCAGGTTCCCTCCTAAGTTCTCCCCCAACTTCCCCCTCCCAACCCAGCCTGCCATCTTGACAGGCACCTTTCTAAGTTTGGATGTCTCTCGATTTCAGTGATTTTGACTCTGGTTTGGATATTTGGCTCTCTCATTCCTTAACACCACCTACAAGTGATTTCAGCCTGGCTTTATCCTTATTCCTCTGTCTTCATTTAACATGATGTATTCCAGTTCTATTCATGTTGCCGTGAATTGCATGATTTTATCATTCCTTACAACTGTTTAGTCTTTCCTTATGTACATATACCACATCTTCATGATCCACTTACCTGTGTTTGGACATCTAGGTTGATTCCAAATCTTAGCTATTGTACTGAGTACTCATTGTAGAACTTTTTAGAATAACTGAAATCTGGAAACAACCCAAGTGTCCAGTGAAAGATGAGTGAGTATAGAAATTGTGTACATATACAATGGGACACTACTTAGCTTAAGAAAAGATGAAATTTTTAAAAATTGTATAACATTTTTTATTAAAGAGCCATGATTTACAAAGTTACTGATAGTTGTGTTTTAGGCATACAATAATCCAACACCAATCACTCCACCACCATCAAATTCCCTCCACCAGTGTTCCCAGATTCCCTCCACATCTGAACTCCTGCTCCACCCCCACCTGTCTACTTGATGGACACATTACAAAGTTTCAGTGGTTATGTCTCCTGTTTTCAGTTCTGTTGAATCTGTGTTATGAGCATATGGATATATCCCTCATTATAGAAAAGATGGACTCTTTAAAAAAATCTTTATTGTGGTACTGTGATATTTACAATATTGTTAATGATGAGTTCATGCATACATCATTCTAAAACCACACCCATCACCAGAGTACCCACTTCCTTCCAACAAGATCCCAAATGCTCCTCCATTTCCACACTCTTCCCACTCACAAACTTAGTACCATGGACTAACCCTCCAGTTCTGTTGCCTTTGGACAAGTGTTGCTCCCTTACTGTGTGCATCTTTATTAATTTGGTATTTTTGGATTGAGATTCTGTGGTTTACAAAACTATTATTAATGGCCTCTCATGCACATACTTCCTGTACCACAGTCATCACCAGTGTACCCATCTGCCTCTCCAAAGGACTCCAACACCTTCTTATCACCTCATCCACTCCAACTCAATTGTATGGATCAGTTCCCGCATTATATTGCCTTTGGATCTTTGTTGCTACCTTGCTGTCTATCTTTAAGTTCCACATATGAGAGAGATCATTCGGTATATGTCTCTTTCATTCTGACTGACTTCACTCAGCATGATACCCATTGACATAGTGGGAAATTGCATGAATTTTTTCTTATAGCCCAGTATATTCCATGGAGTAGATATTGGATTTTGCCCATAACCTCTTCTCCATTTATTAAACAATAATATAGGGATGAATTACAATGATTCATACTCAAATATTAAATTAAACATTCATTCATGGGATAAATTCCATTTAGGGTTTTATCTATAATTTTATTCTTTAATTTGGTTTGATATAATATAAATTTTTTACACATGTATCTATGTGATGGACATTGGTCTGTATTTTTTTGTCTAATACCTTGATTCGTTTTTAGTATGAGGGTAGTTTAGTTTTATAAAATGAGTTGAAAAATATTCTCTGAACTTTTTTAGTTTATGTAGTAGTAGTATTATTTTCTTACTTATTTGTTAGAATCTACTGGTGAAGGCATTTCACTCCAGAGTTGGTTTTTTGTTTGTTTGATTTTGGACCATACCCAGTGGTGCTCAGGGTTACCCCTGGCTCTATAGTAAGGAATTACTCCTGGCGTTGCTTGGGGTACATATGAGATGCCAGGGATTGAACCTGGGTTGGCCACATGCATGACAAACATCCTACCCACTGAACTATCATTCCACACTCTGGCACCTCCAGAGATGTTTTTTATTTTTTTATTTCATTTTTTCTTTTTTGCTTTTTGGGTCACATCCGGCGATTAACAGAGGTTACTCCTGGCTCTGCACTCAGGAGTTACTCCTGGCGGTGCTCAGGGGAACATATGGAATGCTGGGAATCGAACCCGGGTTGGCCGTGTGCAAGGCAAACGCCCTACCCGCTGTGCTATCTCTCCAGCCACAAGAGATGCTTTTTATTTTTTAATTTTTTTTCAGAGTTTTTTTTTTTTGGTCACACCTGGCGATGCACAGGGGTTACTCCTGGCTCATGCACTCAGGAATTACTCCTGGTGGTGCTCAGGGGACCACATGGGACGCTGGGAATCGAACCCGGGTTGGCCGCGTGCAAGGCAAACGCCCCACCTACTTACTGTGCTATTGCTCCAGCCCCCAGAGATGTTTTTTAAAGTAAGATTTTATACTATACATTCAGTTTCTTTAATATATATATACATGTATATATATATTCAGATGTATGGTAAGGTTGAGCTGATAGCATTATCTTCCCTATCTCTACTGATTTTCTATTGGTTAGTCTATTAAAAATATGTTGGAATTTATGACTGTACTTACGAATTCATCTTCTTATCTTTGCATTTCTGTCAGTTAATCCTTCATGTAATTTGAAGATCTATTGTAAAGTGTGTGAAATTATTAGGTACTCTTGATAAACTGGTCCCTTTTTCATTATGAAATACCTTTATTTTTCTTCCCTTTTTTTTTTTTTTTTTTTTTGGTTTGTGGGCCAAACCTGGTGGTGCTCAGGGCTTATTCCTGGCTCTGTGCTCAGGGATCATTGTTCCAGGTGATGATCAGGAAACTATAATTGATGACATGCATTGAACTTGGATTGACTGTATGCAAGGCAAAAATATAAACTCCAACATATTTTTAGTTGATTAAACAATAGAAAATCAGTAGAGAAAGACAGGATACAACCTTTTTCTTTGTAGTCTTATTCTCTGTAGTCTCTTCAGCCCAACTTTCTTTTACCCAGGAAATATTCTTTGCTCATAAATATTTGTTTGGTATTAATATAGTCACTTCTGAGTTTTAATTTTTGTTTTCATATATCTTTTAAAAATTCTTTTTACTTTTGGGCCTGGCCTTGCATGTTGCATGTGGCCCACCCAGTTTAATCTGGCATCCCATATGACCCCCCCTAAGTACTGCCACTATAATTCCTGAATGCAGAGGCAAGAGGAAGCCCTGAGCATTGCCAGATGTGGTCCAAAAACAGAACCAAACAAAATTATTTTACTTTTAACTTATTTGTGTCTATTTAAAGTTGACTTTTTTTAAAAGTTGACTTCTTTTAAGTAGTAAATAGATGAGCTTAGAATCTGACAATATTGGCATTTTAATCGGGGTATTGGGAGTATTTGTATTAATTCAGTTATCTTTGTATTTTAATTTAAACCAAACATCATGCAATTTTCTGTTTGTCTTATCAATTCTCTGTTGCCTTTTCATTTTTTCTGCTTTCTTTTGGATTTATTTATGGGTATGTTTTATGTTTCCATTTTATTTCATATTATTTATTGTCTTATTATCTATAGCTTTGTGGTTGATAGCATGTTTTAAACTTGTAGTGTATCTGAAAATACTATTATGCCACTTTCTGTATAGTATAAGAACATTGTG